AGAGAGAGAGAGAGAGAGAGAGAGAGAGAGAGAGAGAGAGAGGTTAAAGTTTTGGTTCCTCGTTTGTGAAATGGAACCCGCTTAAAGCAGGACTAAGGGAGCGTGCTGGTGAGGGCTGTTATACCGCAACCTTGCTTCACGGTCAATATGCGCGGCTAGCATTTGATGGCGAATGACCACAGCAGTCCGTGTATGCAGTATGATTCATGCTGGAGAGGAATAGCATTGATCCTCGTGTATCAGAGGATCGTACACATTAGTACAGTGTGCAGCAATGAAAAGATACCTCTCTGTTTTCACTGTCCTCTGTAGGACGTCCTTCTGACGCCGGTCAAGGAAGGGCAATGGGAGAGGAGAACAATTTGGGAACATGTCGATGTCGTTCCCAAGTTCATAAAAGGATAGCAGCTAGGTCATTAATGGTAGGGAAGAGCCTAAGAGGGTTTTATATCTGTCTCAAGGGAAATTATGGCAGCACCGATGGTATTATCATGGTGAGCGAGGAGAGGAGGAAGGAAATGTGGCATGTCATAGGCCACTCCTCTCTTCTTTTTTGCGTGTGTGAAACTGCACATCTGGGAGGATCCGCTTAACAGGGTGATAACAGCAACCCTCCTAAGCGGGGCCTTGTATTTGAAGGCTCCATCTGTTGGTGGGGAGCTTGTGACGATCTATCTTCTGATAGGTGCGCCTTTCTGCGGGATTGCACCTTGGGGAGGGGTCAGATGGGCGTAAGGGTCAAATTGCATGAGTGCCCCCATTCCTTTGTCTTTCCTTTCCTCTCTGTTTTGCGAGAGCTTGGTCCCACGGCGGTTGGTGCCCCAGCCAGCGCAGGTGTAACGGCCGATGCAGTTTTTTCCTTCTTTGTGGGAATTTTGGGCAAGGAGCGTTGGCACAATCAGCGCGAGGGGAGGGAATCTTTTTGAATTTTTGAACCCTTTGGAAAAAATGCCAGAGACCGCGCGGGCACTTGGAATGAGGACTCTAATGAGACTAGGATTGTGGGGATATTGTATTTTTCTTTTTGTAACTGCAAGATTCTCCTTACTCGCACGTGTTTTGCCTGTGTCCCGCGCTGTATTCCCGCCGTTTCTTAATTCTAATCTCTGACTGCAGGCACCTTCTTTCTTTCTCTCTCCCCTGCGTCACTCACACAAATGCTAATAGCTATAAATTTCACAAGTGCGACTAAATTGCTCTCTAATCTAAACTTGGGAAGGTTAGTGTGATCAAGAGGATCAGCTAACGAGTATGAGCATACAAGGAAGTGAGTTTGGAGTCCGGCCATCCGATGAGCTGGTGGCGAGTGTGCGGGGTTGATGCGCGGCCACAACAGACTGTGAAGCATGGGTGAGCCCGGCATGCCGCATGTATACTCGGGCTAAGCGGAGTGACAGCTCTGGGTTGTTGGTAGGTGGGAGGCGACAGCCTGCCATTGGAATAAGGAGGAGGATGGTGAAGCAGTGCGAGCGCGTGGGGAGCTGGGGTGTGTGGGGATTTCTCTCCTAGCCCTCTAGATTTTTTTGGTTTCGGCTTTCGCGTTTCTGTCTTTGTAATTGCAGACTTCTGTGTGTTCGTCTGGGTCCCTCCTTTTTCTTCGAAGGTTCTCTTGTACCTCTTTCTTGTTATGGATGATGTTGTATGTGATGATGGCGGCCTGATCGTTCCAATTTAGTATGCATGATTCCCGGTTGTGTTGGAAGATTTAGGAATGCATGCAGGGTGGTCGAGCCCCAGCCCCGGGGCCCCGGCGGGGGGGTGTGGAGGTCCGGGGGTAGGCAACCCTGGCCCCGGCTTTTGACCCCGCCCCAAGAAAAAATCAAAAAAAGAAAAGAAAAAAAAAAAGCCTGGAGGGTGTGGCGTGGAAGAGTGCACCCCCTGGGATTAACTGCGAAAATGCAGTTCTTGCCCCACCTCGGAACCACCCCCCGGGGCTACATCCTCCCCTGGTGAACCCAAGGTGCCCCTGGGCGGGGGACCGGGGCTGGGGATGGCTGGGAGCGGAGCCGGGGGTGTAGGGCCGGGGGCGGGGCCTGGGGTGGGGACGAGGGCGGGGGAGGGCGTGGGGTGGGAGAGGGAGGCTTGGTGGCGTGCGCAAGGATGGGAGCGGGGCTTGG